GCACATTGTTAACTCAATTGTTGGACAGCTGTAAAAACCATAAGTGTGCAAAACAACTTCTAATGCATCAAAATGAGGGTTTTCCAAGTGAAGGAATACCCAATGTGGCGAGGACGCCGGCACACCAGTGGAGAAGTTGATGGGAAGCAGAGTTTGCACAATACAGATATGCTGCAGGGTTTCTTCTGTGTCAGCAGCAGGCACCCCGCCAATACTCATGACTCATACCTTCCATTACGGTCAGAGACCGAGAACACCAAGGACATCAAGAGAAGTTCCCACTACCTACAGCTGACCAGTAGGGGCACCTTTTTAGAATAGTTTTAATTAGTTGCATTGACAGAAAACAGAGAAAAACCATTGCACAAATCCTAATGAATTACTTCTGCTACATTAATGGCACACAACCCCATGAATCCTTGATATGAGCTTGGGAGATTCTGGTCCGGGTTTCCCCTTGCAGGCCTCTGCCGCCGTGTCCTTTGCCGCCCTGGCCGGCCCTCTCCTCCGCTTCGCACAGTGGCTCCAGTGGAATGTGATGACCACGGGCCGGACAAAGCCCTGCATTCATGACCCTCCCGTCCCACTCGGGAAGTTTTGCAACCTCGAACACAGCGGTGGGTCGCGGGGGGAGAGAGGTGGCTGCGGGCGGCCAGAGTCCATGCACCCTTTGACGCGCGTCACACACCCCCTCGCCGGACGCCACATAAGCCGCACACGTCTGCTGCATTTTATTCTCTTAACCACTTGGTTGTAAATAATGCAGAAGTCTTTCGCGGTTCAAACCCGTGAGACGAATGCGGCGGCGGAAAGCTTCTTGTCGACTTGAATTCACCCTGTAACATTAAACACTCAAAGCCAGCCCTCCATTATCCTTACTGGTAGCACGAGAGAGGTTAATTGCTGGTAACGCAAGGAACAGAATTAGGGAAGGCTAAATCAGTGTGTTTTTGTGCGTTAACGCCGGCTCACAGACAATCACTTGAGACCAGATAACATAAACAAGGCTACACATTCATCATCATCATCATCTGCTGCCTGCCTGTCTGTCTCTACTTCCTCTGTCTAAGTATCTCATACGGTATCCATTTGCCTCCTTTGTGCAGGTAATATAATAGAGAGGTTCGAAGGCTTCTCCACTAAACCTCTGCACGTCTAAATGCAAACACAGTAGTTACTATGCAACACACAACTACACAAACAGGCAAAAGGTCTGTTTCGTAATGCTATACAACATGTGTATACTCGACGTATATAACACATAATCTATACGCGATACATAAATATATATATGAATCTTGCTGCTTATTCGCCCTCACAGTTGTTCTCCAAAAGCTACTATGAATACGTGAATGAATGGTTCAAGAACTAGAAAAACCTCCTCCTTAAACTCGAAGAAAACACAAAATCTAAGATGCATCAAAAGTGAATGAAGGAATACGTCAATTTAAATAAAACATATTGTTACGTTAATTGTGCAACCATCAATTACAATCCCATGTTTATCAAATCCTACACTGATGGCATCTTTTTCAATGGGCGGCTCTAAATAAATACAATAATTATCGCATTAACCATGATCCAGCTTTTCAAATTAGAGCCATTTTGGAAGCTGTTGCTTCTCTGGCTAAAAGAATGAAATGGTTTTGCACCAAATTAAGTTTCCATGCGTTCCAATTGAGAGGTCCCCTTTTTGTATATATAGTCTAAGGAAGGAATTTCTTAGAAGCCAGATTTGATCAGGCCCCAATGCTTCACTTTTGTCAACACTATGCTTAGAACCAGTGCAGTAAAGAAGGTAACAAGTAGGAAACTAACTCACGTAAACGAGAGATGCACAAAGCCTTGTTAAGACTCGTGATGGCAACATGGGAAAACTAAATAGATAATGCAGCTCAAGTATTGAGTGCATTATATTGAAACAGAGGTTGATATAATGTACCAAAAAATATGTGCATGGCAAATTACATACTGAAATCTATATTTCTAAGACCTCCTGTTTCTGAAGCGCCATAAAAACAAAGTTGGCGTCTTCGTAAAATCACAAGGTGGTAGGAGTGAAATCATCAGTAACGCGATGTTGCGGCTCGGTCTGAATGAGAGCGTAGGAAGCGCCTAGTTACAAGAATTCAGAGGGGCCAAACCGAGGACCACGAACACTGTTCGCTCTGTCAGCTCTTTCTCCCTCTTTTGCACTGTTAGCGCTGTTAGCACCGTTAGCTGGGAGCTGCAGCACGGTGAGAGCCGAACAAGGTGCAGATACGTTGAGAGTTACAGGTGCAGATCTTGCACCTGTAACAGTCAGACCACACGCACCAGCTTTCCCTCAAAACGACCGCTGACGACCCAAGATGAACCCGGGGGGCTCATGGGATGTTCCCGCCTAAATGAGCCATTACCTCTGCGGTAGAGCTCTAATAAGAGAGATGGATAATGAGATGGATAGATGGTTTGATCTTTTCAGTATTCCTCTCCAGGTGTGGCCGCCTGCCGCACAGAGTGCTCCATCCACAATTCATGAGAGGAAACTGATGCCATTAGGGGGGGGGGGGTGCTGTACGCCCGGACCGAGAGAAAGCCTCACGTCCGGCTTTTCTGTTGAAGTTAGAAGATCAAAAAAAGCACAGCGGGACTATTGATTGTACAAAAAGGGAAGCTGTGGGGTACGACCAGAGCGCTGGATAGAGCAGGAAGCTTGACATAGAAAGTGTTTGGGTGGAGGGTTGCAGTAGTAGTGAAAACACCAGGGGCCGGAGACGAAACAGATAAGCGCTTGTTTGCCCTGGGTGTGCATGTTTAGACAACACTTCTGACCTACCCTGCTCGTCTATTCTTACCTGATAAGCTGAAGGTCAGCGGTGAAAAGTCAAGGATGTGTGAAGGACCTTAGGGTTCCTGTGAGCGTGTGTACAGACAGAAATAATGACATTTTTGAGGCTGAGGTCACATGATTCTCCATGAGAGAGAAAGCACAACAATTCTTAAAACTAACAAACCAGATGTTTGCTTTGGTGCCGGGTTGCAGGAGGCTGCCTGGTGGGTTGTGAGTGCAGACTGCTGGTGTTTATATTTGGCAATCTTTGTAATGTCTGTAGATTGATACTGAGGGATTTGGTGTCACAAGGCTGAACTACTCGCTTTATGTCTGCAGTCATTAGTTGGAGAGCGCTCCAACATAAATAGAAGCGATATGTGGTTTTGGAGACTTTCAGTAGTTATGTTGTACAGTAAGGACATGAACTTAAAAGCGCACATATCTGAGAAAGAGAAAAGTCCAAAGTCCTTTGTCACTGATCGATGAAATCTAAGCCCCTGTGTGCAGTCACCTGAGAGCACTGACAGGAGGTCCAGTGCATCATTTAGTTTGTGGCCTCTATCCTAAAGTGTCTCATCCAAGCTAAAATGAGGAAACATCCAAAGCCAAACCACATTAAATTATAGAAACAGAGGACAATATCCGAGATATTGGACATTTGATCTAAAATCTCCAATGTATTTTATTTTCATTCCTATGGTCATCGCTACGGTCAATTTAGTGTCACTAAGTGGAGTGGACGACATGCTTTCCACTATGCAGTAATTCACAACACCTCTCAGGGGTCAGGAGTATATTTAGGACCCGCTAACATTTCCCACACGTTCTGGGACCAGCGCAGAGTTCAACTGAAAAGCACTTTTGCAGCTGCAGCAGAGGAGGAATTTCATTGGAGGTCTGGATTTTCATGCTTTTCGGGGGAGTATTTATAGCGGCTAGGGGCATGCAGACTGGCCTTCTTAAACCCGGCCAAGTAAAGTGATGCTGAGGCTGCAGGGGTAGAGCAATGACGTGTCATTCTGTTCTAAATCTAAACCTCCATGTTCATGACAATACATTGTAACAGATATAAACATTCTGAACAATGTGACGGCAGGCGGGTAATATTGATAATATAGCTATCAACACATTGTATGTAACTTTCACGGAATATAATAATATTTGAGTTTTAATTAGTAAAGCGAATGCAATGTGTGAGCTGCCACATTAAAAAATAGATTATAACATAGCGGATATTCCATTCGTGTTTTGTGCTTGTTCAGTGAGCATTACCATCATTTTGCTGCCCACTGTATTTTCCATGTTCCTTTCATAAAACTATGATCTCATGGAAATCCTTGCCTGGTATTTTTCTTGTAATTTTACCTTCCCACCCTGGCTCTGAAAATATTTGAATTATTTTTTAGCATAGAAACCAGTGGTTACAACATGCAAAATCCACAACATGTTGTCTGTGACAAAAAGAAAGACCAGATGAGTAACTCCTGGCTACACCTTTGCTTGTCTCTGAAGTGGAAACCAGGCCTTCCATCCCTCCAGCTACCCCTTCAGAACAGATAAGTGTAACGGATCCCCACTTGTAAATAGTAGATAACACATCACTGATTATTATTCTGTGCAACAGGGGTTTGTGTGGACGCTTCCTGTGGCATGAATCATTAAACAGGTGACTGTAATCCATACAGACGCCGTGCTTCTCGGGCCGTGGGTGAGCTGTCTGACGCTGCCTGGCAACCAACTGAACTCCTCTGCTTTGAAGACAAAGCTCAGATTGCTCACCTTCGAACAAGACATGTGAAGGTAGAAAAGTCTTCGAAAATGTCAGCTTGCACGGTTAATAACCACGAAGAAGGGGGAACAAGAAAAATGTGCAATGCAGGATCAAGTCCATGGGGTCATATTGAGAAGTTCACCGCAGTAATTGGGAACTATTGTTCCGAGGATTCGTTTTGTGTGCCTGAATGGGCAAGAGGGCCAAGCAGAGAACAGAAAAACGTTGACATTGAAATGACATTTTTTTCATTTTTTTGAACACAGTAAAAGCACCGGCTCACCATTAATCTGAAAAGGCCAGGTAGAGCGGTAGTGTCAGTAACCCGTGGCAACGGCTTCTGTGACAACAGAAATCTTGGATGGGTCCGCTCCTGCAGCGGAGCACTGTGGAACACCATTGGCTGGCTGAATGAGTGATTGGCACACGTCTATCTATTATGCATGTCAGCTTCCCTTTAGTGCGTTCTTGAGCTTGTTTCCAAGTAAGCACAGCTGAGAGGCAGCCTGCCTGCATCGACACTCAGGACACATTTTATCTTCTTGGTAAGATGTTTATTCTTCTGTTTGCATGCTTTTTTAATTTTACCTATCACCAACTCTAGTGTCCGATCTATTTATCTGCATGCCTTGAAAATATACAATATGGATGTTTTATGATAAAATTGCTGCATTTAAATGTAAAATCATCTTATGGAGCTACATTACAATTGAAAATGATATGAAAAGTGATTTTATGCACCTATAGAAAAGCAGGAGCTTTCTGAGGGGAACTCAAAAATGGAGCTGATGGGCTCCACTCTGGCAGCTACATATGCTCGTCCAAACACCAGCCACTTCCTGCCTGCCATCTCCACCATGGCATCCAGCTATCGCAACCCTCAGCCAGCGTTGGCCATGAATCCCAGTGCCAACCTGTGGAGGACCAACGGCTATTACAAAAGCAGCAGCACTGTCCCAACACCTTCATCTATACAGCGAGAGAATTTAGATCTGGTTCGATCCAAGACTATGTTCTACCCGTCCAACAGGACAGCGCTTACCACCCGCTACACTCCCGAAGACTGGTACAAGTCCAACATGAGCAACTACAGGGAGTCGGAGTCGTCCAGGAAAAGCGCAGAGAGACTTAGGAGAGACACCATCAGGATGATGCAGGATAAGGAGCAGCTCACCAGGCTAACCCAGGAGAAAACCAACAAGAACATTGGCGAGCGGCTCAATGACATCGTCTTCTGGAGGGCTGAGCTGAGCCACGAGATAGACAACATGGTGACAGAGATAGCAGCGCTCAATGAGGTTAAGAGGAGGCTGGAGAGGGCCTTGGCCGAGACGGAGGGGCCCCTTCAGGTGAGGGCAGAAGGAATAAATGAGTGTATGTGTGTGTGTGTGTGTGTGTGTGTGTTACCTTGAATTACTTCACTCTGTTAAGTAGTATCTGAATTGTGAGTCTTGTTGTTGGAACATTTTGCAGGAAATATTGACACTTCAACAAGGACAATTTACATTTGCCTTGAAATCTTCACAATCGGGTCAGGTGTTTGTTCACTGCACTCAAATTAACATTGATGCGTATCACATCTCAGGGTGCGCCACTCTTGTGAAACAGTTTGGACTTGGGTTTCTGTTTAGTTGTAGCAACAGCGTCCAGCTGGTCATGGAGGACACTTTAAGACGCAGTAATGCTGGAATGAAGTCATAATTAGGGGGCGTGTTCCCTGTTGGTCATTTGGCTCACCCAGAGTGAGTCAACTTTATCTGGCAGCAGATCTAATGACATGGACACCTTGTTCAGCTAAGATCATGTGGCAGAAAGCTTTCTTTGAGACTCCTCCAGGTACCTGTAACTGGAGAACGCAGTCGATACACGATGTACACGGGGACTGCACTCATACTCATTCTCCTGCTCAGCTATTTAAATGTCACGATGGAGATGAGGATTTGGATTTTGAATTTAATCGTGATCACTTTGTCAATAGGTGTCACAAGAGTGTTTGTACCACAGAGAGAAGCGGATGTCCATCGATCTGGTGCACGACCACGTGGAGAAAAATCTCATAAAGGTAAAATTAAAGAAGGAGTGTGCGCATGTGTGACTTTTGATGGCAAAACTGGAAAACAAATGAGCAGATTTGGTTTACTTGCGTTGCGACAAGGAAGTGGAAGTCATCAAATCATGTCAGGAAAGGATGAGGCGACATCTGGACAGAGCCATCGCTCAGCTGGCGTGAGTCTGAGAAATCTATTTATGACATCTAACTCGACGTAGGGTTCCTATGGAACAAGGTCTACACAACCTTTGACATTCAATTTATAGTTTTGTGTCCGTGTCGACCTGTGGGGTTCCTTAGGTCGAACCGAGCAGCTCAGCATGAACTGGAAAGGGACATGAGCGACAAAGTGACAGCTCAGAGGATAGACGGAAGGTGTCACCATCTGAGGAACACATCCGACGCCATCGGCTACCACAGAGGGATTGAAAGACTAGACCCCTCGTGAGTACAGCGCTATGAGATCGATTCTATCAAGTCAAACAGCTGCCAGCAATTTCCTATGTTTGTAACCAGATTGGCATATCCAACCGTCAATTCCAGAAAGGCTTTTGACATTTTTGAAAATCAAATTTGGTTGCTGCTCCATTTTGTTCATTGAATTGGGAATACACACAGAATAATGGGTTTGGACTGCATCAAGGCTGAGAGCTCATTGAAGCTAGCGGCTACCTAGACCCAAAAAATAACACACACACAACTCAAGGGTCTGCATCTTGCTGGAATCGTAAAGATCTGTTTAAATTTTTTAGCAGACCCCATCCAATAGCTGATGAGATATTTTAGGGTGAAATTAGGTGGTGGACCAACCAATACACCTAGATACTGACATTGTATTCCCATGAGCCACGTTGGCACTGCCAAATGCCGTTCTTTTCACCACGTCAGGCTCTCTCTACCGGACTCGTGGTCCAAGTTCACCGACGACAACATCCTGCTCTCCCAGAGCCAGCGGGCGGCCTCCCAGAAGCTGAGGGACGAGATCGAGATCCTGCTGAGCACCACGTCCAACGAGATGTGGAACCAGTTCAACAACGCCAACGTGGCCTTCATGAACCGCGTGTCAGAAATCGCTGACGCCAAGAACAGCCTGCAGACGCACCTGGCTAAGGTCTGCGCCTCATCAACGCCGTCACACTTCATGGAAGGAAACACAACTTTGTTATGTTTGTGGATCAGAAACTTGTCGATGTTTATTGACGTGATGAGTGAGAGTTCTGCTATCGTCTGACGTTTCTTCACTTTGAAGGAATGGCAATCACATGTCCCTGGGTTGAATTCATTCCCCTTCTAACTACATTTGTCACTTACTAGGAAGAGATCATGTGTTATTCTCTTATTTTCTTCACGCAGCACAAACAGAATCTGCAAAAGAATGCACGCTGCATAAAATAGAGGATAAATCTCCGTTGCTTGCCACATGGCTCGGGACATGCTTCTCATCTTTAGGGGATTATGTGCATGTTTACTTCAAAACATTCCTGTCAAAAGAGAGAAATGGTAATAAATGCCCCCATTCATTGCTTGTGCCATATTCCACACTGGATCCCGTTGTTCTCGGGTTAACTGCAGGAGGTTTAACAGCGAATCCACTTCAGCTGTCGGATGGGTTTGAACACTGACAGCAGCTGTGATGTGAGACACACGGTCCCTAATAAACCTCTGTCACTCTTGTAAGTGAGCGGTGATTCGCTGGAACTAAATTACATCAAATGGGTTCGGACAGACCAGGCCCCTGTGCAGCACTGTGCTCAGCTGATTCAAAGCGGGCAGGGTACAGTGTTTACTTGTTCGATGAGACTCTTATTTATTTTCCCGCTCTCGTCAATAGTTCCTCCTGTACCCTAAAAAACACCTTCCGCGCCAGCTGACCTCCCTTTTTTTTAATGAATGAAACGCAGCTGCTGTATTACCAGGATTTGGCGATGCTTTCCTTTGCTGGCACTTCATTCTGCATCCGTCTTGTTTCATCACACAGACCCTGCAGGAGATCTTCCAGACAGAGATGCTGATTGAGTCTCTGAAGAAGGCGCTCAGAGACAAGGAGTGCCCACTGAAAGTGGCGCAAACCAGGCTGGAGGAGAGGACGCGCAGGCCCAACATGGAGCTCTGCAGGGACAACCCGCACCACAGGTGCTGTAGCTGCGCAACTCAGAAATCTTTGCAACTAAAATAAAATGTCATTTGTTACCAGGGACATTTACCCCAGAAATAGATCCCACAGAAAATACTGGTTTTAAAACACTCAATACTTGCAGTACTTATCTACATGTGATTATTTGTTTTAAGTGTGGTAGACTACAATATATTGGTAGCACAATTTTGAAAGCTATCAATCACAATTAGCTTCAAAAAACCTATTGCAATGAGAACACAGAAACCGTTCTGAGAGAAATCTAGTAGCTACAAAATAAAGTAGCTATGTACATTCAGTCCCTTGATCAACTATATTAAAGCTGACCAAAGGACAGTTAAAGACATTTATGTCTGAGCTTGTTTTCTCATTGCTGAACATTTGTTTTTTAAGTCCATGAGTTATTGTGACACAATGGATGTCATTGACTCATCTTAGTCATTTGAAAGTATTTCTTTAACTCAAACAACATTGCATGACCTTGGGTCTGACAAGGTTTCCTTCACTCCTTCCTCCATCCGACCAGTCTAACAGTGAGACGCGTTCTTTGTCCTTACTCGTTTAGACTCGTGGGTGAGGTGAGGGAGATCGAGGACACCATCCAGAAGCTGCAGGAGAGGCTGATGGAGGCTCAGAACACTCTGCAGACTCTGGTCAGGACCAAAGTGACCCTGGAGCACGACCTGTCCATCAAGGCCAACTCGCTCTTCCTGGACCAGGAAAAGTGCATGAGCATACGCAAGAGCTTCCCCAGCATGCCTCGTCTGGTGGGCTACACCTAAATGAAGCCTCGGTGGACCAGAAGAAAAAAATATTGACTGACTTGATTGACTGGCGATGTTGGAGTGATTTTGAGGGTGTTGTGGGTGATTTGACCAAAAAGAAAATTACAACAATTTACGAGCACGATGTTTTAATCTGATCATAAACGGACTATCATAGCTTTGAGTATTGTACCCGTAATGTATTTAAAATGGGTTTAAAAATAAATGAAGGTTTAAACACACGTGGGTATCCAGAAAGGATAATTCACCATGGTGATTACTCATGTTGTCTGCAATTACAGACATGCCATATGCTATATTATTAACCTTTAACCAGAAACTCTTGTGATATCATTTCAAAATAACATAATAAAAGCATTGTTAGACTTTAGAAGCACACACGCTCACACCTTTTGTTCATTTTACAATGTCATACAATCAGAGCATCACTTCCTATGTTCTGACATTTTCACTCCATTACCTCATTGGAGGGCTTGCTGTATAATGTAACCCTTTGCTTTTTAACACCATGAACAGCAGTAACCTTACTTTAATGTGACTATTCATACGAATCACAGATCTCATGTTACACTAAGTTGGCAACAGGCCCAGTGGAGGACAAACGGTCTTGATAGCGCATGCGACAGTAACTCATGGCCTCACCCATAGGAGGAGCTGAACAAACAACTTGGAAGTCACGTGTGACTTCACACCAGTAAGCCTCACACCACTTACTTCTCATTGCCTGCCCCCCCCCAGGCCTCCATGCTGCAGTGCAGGGGGAGGTTGGACCTATAGACTTAACTTAAATCCACACATTTAAACGGGGGGCTTGAACAAATACTGAACACACATGAACACACTTCTTGACCCAACCCTCCCGCTCCTACTGACTTCCCTCTGCAACCTGTGGAATGTAACACATTTGCTAGAATGACCAATACTGTTTGGGTTAAACAATGTCAGGACAGTACTAGTTAAATGGATCACCGGTATCGGAGCCAAGCAGAGAACCCATCACAGTACATTTCTGACTTTACAACACAAAATGTAATCTGTGACGGTAATTCTGTAGGTCTCTTTAGTTCAATAACCTTGTTATCTTGAGTTTATACCATGAAAAATCTACTTTTGATTGAGCGAATAGGTTGAAGACGGACGCCACCTGGACTGACGTGGTAATCGGAGCTGAGATATGCAACATGGCATCCAAGCTTCCCTCAAATCCATCTCCCAACCAGTTCCACCTAAATTCCTCGCAGCGGCCGCAGCATCAAATGCATGACATCATCTCTCTTGTACCTGGAGTAGTTTGACTGTAGAGACCGCTGACTGGGGGGAGGGAGCGGCCGCTCGGAGAATGTGTGCCACTTGAACTTTGCTTTAAGTGAAATGTTTTACAACTATATTGAGGTCCTGTGACAGCTAACTCTCACTGCTTCGCAAACAGCATTGTGTTTAGCTGAAACCCTCGGGACAGGGTCAACGGCAGAAGGTCTCTGCCAAGGCTTCTTACATGCAGTGTGTGTGTGTGTGTGTGTGTGTGTGTGTGTGTGTGTGTGTGTGTGTGTGTGTGTGTGTGTGTGTCCTGTGCCCATGCACATTCCTCAGCCCTTGCATTGCAAAGAAAGGCCCTCTGTGGTCTAGCTAACATCAAAAGACTTGCTGCTCTCATCACCTTGTGATTAGACATACTGACAGATAGTACAGAGTTTAGGGTTGTCCCCCCCCCCCCACCACCACCACCCACCCTCCGCTTTCCCCTTCCAACTGAACCCCCATTTCTCCTTGAGGTTTACAGGTCTCTGTTGGAATGAGACACAAATAGGCCTTCCACTTTTACAACCCTGCTTATGGGGGGAGTTACTCTGGAATTCTCCCAGCAGAACAAACATATTTGCGGTTAATTATTAACACTAGTTATTTTTACAGATGCCCTGCGTTATTTTATATTTCTGACATGAGACTTATGTCGGCTTCCGAGGGTTTCTGGCTGGTTTGATTTACTCTACGTGTGGCAGTTTAACTGCGTATTTACACGTATAACATGATGAACACTGTACAGGCACATATACATCTGTAATTACTTGGCATGTTTTTTTTGTATTAGCTCTCCAAAACAGAAATAGCCCTGACATAATATCACACATTTAAATTTGCTAATATGTCAGTGAAATAGATCAAGTAGAAACATTATTATTGTACAGAGTCATATTTCTTGCAAACTGTCTAACATTGGCCTTCCTTTCAACAATGTCTTTGTAACCAACGACCGCTGAGCATCGACATCCTGCTCATTGTGTTGCTAGTTATACTTTAGTGTTGAGCCGGTAGTGGGTTAATCTAAAATAAATCCCTTTAGCTCGACCATAAGGAACATTTATCACCTCGTCTCCGGTCGTCTCGGGATGCTCAGTTTAGACCGAACACTGAACATTCATGGGAACCGGCTCTCGCCTGCCGCTGTTGGATCGGTGCCCAAACTCTGAGTTCTCTCAAGGGGGCCCTTTGGCCGCTCCGCCGCTGGGCTGCGAAGAACGACTATATTACGGGAAGAAACCAAGCAGGAATCCGTTGAGCAGCAACGTCGAGAGAGGGGAAGCTGGAGACGGACTGATAGGACACATAACGCGCAACGTGGTTTTCCATCCCAACTGCCAACCTCTCGCACAGTGGCTCTGTGCTGATAAGTCAAATCTAGGCTTCCCTGAACTTGGATGGAATAAATACTATTACCCTCCCAGTGCCCCCCCCTCCCTCCCCCCACACCTCCAGCATTCTGCACATCAGGGAGCTGAGATAAGCCAGAGGAGCGTTACAGCAAAGCAGGGTTCAGAGGTCAGCCTTCAGCATTGATCAGCGAGTCGAATTCTACACATTCTCCTTAAATAGAGGCGCTGCTGGACAACAGAGCGACACGGCCGTGCAGATGCTGTACTGCAGTCTTTCCTGCTGAATCATAGTGGGGCCGAGGATGACTGGGAGTTAAGCTCTGTGGTCTGAATATGAGGAACGCTGGCGCACGGAGCAAGAACAGAGAAAACAGAGCTGCTCAGAGTTGCAACATTCTGCCATTCGTTTTTCGTCACATCGTCACGAATGGCGAGGACCTCGATCACAACTTTCATCATTCACATGAGAAACGTCACGGGACATTTTATCATGAGCATGTGATTTGAGTAATGTCAGAATGACACGGGCCTTTTAGATTCCCTCAAGATGCTATTTCAATGACAGCGTTTGCTGACGAGGTTTATTTCAGACTGAGCAGTGGAGTGATGCAATCAAACACATTTTTCACAAACAGGAGTTTGGAACCAGATTGAAGGTAAATTAAATAATATTGCAATGACTTTTAGAGAGAAATCCTTCCCTTTTCCACTGGCTTGTTTCATTAGTATATTGTCAACTCAAACCACACTCACATCATAGTCAATCTGCTGTGTGTTTGGTGTATTGGCAACAGCCTATTTACCCCCCTTTTGCTGTCAGCACTCTGTGTCGTCTGATTAAAGCGTGATGACAAGACCGCGGCTGTGAGTAGCTCAGAACTTACCCGCACACAAACAAACAGTCTGTGTTTACCTCCAATCTCACCTTGTTCCTGTTTGAGTCCCCCGTGTCCTTGTCCTCCCCGAGGGTTCTCCTCATAGCATATTTGCTTAATTAATTCACAGGCGTTATGAGTTCACGCGCTGGCATCTGCTGATTTCTGTGTTGTAGTTAAAAACTCATGCAATACTTACAGACGCGTATAGAGTATATGTGTAAAACAGGAGAGATGGATGCCGGCGGAGGGAGGGGAAGCGGTGCGACTCCCATGCAGCAGGAGGGCATGCTATTCAGTCCGACGGACCGCGGCACTTTGCGAGCTGGTGACGGGACGCAAAACGCCGAGCCACCTTTGAGCGGCAGCTGTCGGAACCTGACACACGGGGGAGAAAATCCCGGTCAAACAGTGACGCCAGCAAGGCCTTTCCCTCCGACCCACAGGAAGCCTCGAGATCCGCCGACTGAGTCGAGTAACAACGGCTGAGGCACATTTTTTTCATCCCGGCTAATGGGTTTTGGTCGGAGGCAAGGAGAGCGAAAGTGCAATCAAGCGAAAGACTTGACAGTCACAATACTTTAAAATCAACCAGAGTGGGATCTAACCGAGAGCCCATTTTTCGGCCTTTTTTTGATACAGTATCTCTGACGCTTCTTCACTTTACAAATCTTGCAGGAATTCAGTTTGGGTTGAAACGTAAACATCCCCCTCGTCTGCTTTAGCACCCTCCTCCGTGTTGGCAACTCAATCGCGTCCGTCCGCCGTATTCGTGCCCCCCCCCCCCCCGGCCGGGGTCCCGTTCTTCAGGTTCCTGGTATGTACTCTCGCCGTCCGGCCGCTTCCCAACGCGAAGATGAGTCGCACCAACTTTAAGGTCAGAGGGGAAACATTTGACGCCCTTCCAGATGTAGCATTATTCCGTATCTCGGGCTGCATGTTTGTTATGCGGCTCTCCCCGGAGAGATCGCCTCCGAGCTCGATAACAAACGCAGTAAACTTAACACCCCCGTGTCCACTCGGCCCACTGATTGTCAGTCTTTTACAAACATTGACATATAAGGGATGGGGAACTACTCCACACTTTTAACAAGAGTTTCTCTACGTGTCACTGTAAACCCGACCAGCTCATGGAATCAGAGTGAGGACATAATGATTCTGTAAACACCAGACGTGCACAAAAGAAAACGTCGGCCTGCCAGCGATAAAACAATCATATCAGACAAAGAGGTGCTTCAGGCCGGACTAAGAACGCCGCGCACTTTGATAACCGAACAGCCACATAGTTCACACTTGGAGCAGCACACTTGACCACATGACTGCGATCCGGCCTCGTAATGGTCTTGTGTGTGTGTGTGCGTGTTTGTCTGTGCGCGTGTGTGCGGTCATGATTACAGCAGACAGGCCTCTGTTTTCATCGAGTGAGAAAAAAAAAAAAACACACACACACACACGCAGAGGCGTCCAGGAAGTGTGAGCTGAAGTGGTAAAGAATAGAGAGTGTATGTTGACAGGGGGGCGGTTATCTGAGGTCGGACAGCTCCTCCAACGGCCCACTAATGCAGAGAAAAACGTATGCTTCATAGCGTGCAACGTATGCCTCGTAGAGTGCTTCGTAGAGTGCTACGTACGCTTCAGAGTGCTTTGTATGCTTCATAGAGTGCTTCGTAGAGTGCTACGTATGCTTCATAGAGTGCTCCGTATGCTTCATAGAGTGCTCCGTATGCTTCATAGAGTGCTACGTATGCTTCATAGAGTGCTACGTATGCTTCATAGAGTGCTACGTATGCTCCGTAGAGTGCTACGTATGCTCCGTAGAGTGCTACGTATGCTTCGTAGAGTGCTACGTATGCTTCATAGAGTGCTACGTATGCTTCGTAGAGTGCTACGTATGCTTCGTAGAGTGCTACGTATGCTTCATAGAGTGCTACGTATGCTTCGTAGAGTGCTTCGTAGAGTGCTACGTATGCTTCATAGAGTGCTACGTAGAGTGCTACGTATGCTTCATAGAGTGCTACGCTTCATAGAGTGCTGCCCATCGAGGGAGCTCTGGACTTATTGCAGAAGTATGCGTTTGATGACTTATGAACATGGCACAACCAGTGTTATCAGGAATCCATAAAAAGATACCAGCAATATTTGTGGAGGAGAACCAGAAGGAGAGATGTAAAGTAGTTCATTCAAACTGTGAAATATATACAATATTGACCACTCCCTTTATTTCCTGGAATTTGGATCATGGTAACACCCTAGAGGGCTAACCAGAGTGGATTCTTCTGAACAGGGCTGACAGGGTGGGATGCCCCGGTACTCCCTCTGGAAATGAGTCAAGACAAACAGAGGAGAGTCCCAGATGCTTTTCTCTCAATGGAACATGCAAACCCTCTCACATACCGTGAGTCACGAGGCTGAGTACCATAGGGGAAAAGACCACCACCACACTGAGACGTGTTTGTTTTTGGTTGCCGCGGCAACATAATGCAGAGAATACAGGGAACTATTTCATTTTGGATAATTTAAAATGCCTTTTTCTCATTCTTTTTTGCTGTAGGACAAACTGAAATGACTGAAAATTACAGTCTCATGTATTTATGTTGGATGTACTTCCGCTATATGCACATATGCATATACAAATGTACTGAGCGGGCAACAATGACAAAATGGATGAAGCTTAATTTGCAATGACGGCAATAAAGGAGCTGAAAACATGGTCAGAGGGAAGAACTAAAGACTCCTCAAAAGCAGATAGCGAATTTCGGTTACCACGACGGCCAAACAATGATCTGTCAGGTCACTACACACACAGCAAGTCAGTAACTAAGGCAACCCATGCGCTATTACGCATGGCATGTCTATATTGGGAATCCTGGCCGCGGACCAAAGGGTCACTCCATGACGCAGCGACGCACGCAGGGCGTTGTTCTCCCATAATGAGACACTTTATAACAGCACGTAAGCCCTGGCGTCAATCTAGTCTGAGAGCGACTTTCAGAAAGGACGGACTATCGCTGTTGGACACTTTTGGGAAAACTTGCTTTTGCTTCTTGCGAGCCTTGAACTCTTTTTCGTTTTGTTTGTGGAAGTACAAGCTACCCGCTCTCAGTAAGTGGACTTTCTTAACTCGCTCACATTCAGCTGCACTCAGCCTCTGCAGGCAGATTCGAGGAGGTAGCGCGTTTTTTCGCCGGGATACCCGCCGCTCCATTACGCACACGGACGGGAGGGCTGAGCTGTCACCGCGAATACAAAGTTTAACTGGTCTCTATAAGATACTTTTATTCGATTAACATAATTTTTTACTTGAATAACTTTAAGCTTGCTTTGTAATATCCTATACTTAAAATTGTTTTCATTTTGTTAACGAAACACGGTGGCATTTTAAATCCAATTTCCACACATACTAACTGCGACTTTCCCTGTCAGTCTCTGCGCTGCCCGATTCTAAAGTGTCTCCGAGGGTTGTGCGTGTTAAACGTGCTGCAGCGACACACCCATGTCCCGCCAGTCTGACATCCCCACAAACACACACACACACACACACACACACACACACACACACACACACACGCTCAGACACTGAATGAGACGGTCTCCTCTTCTCATTGCTGTGCAGATCGCCTGACAAGATGCTGCTCCTTCTACTGGGAATCGTCCTCCTGCACGTCGCTGGTCTGGTCCTCCTGTTTGTGTCCACTATTGTCAGCGTGAGTAAAACTTGTGGTTTCTTTCTTTCTCTTATCCGATTAATTTAACTTCTAGAATTATATTATATATATATATATATATATATATATATATATATTGATTGGAATAAAAACTCCCCATAGATACACAATGTAGTAAATAATCTCTGACGTTTCTCCATAATCGGAGCTCCACCTCACTGCAGTGATTTGAATGTGCCGTGACACTCGTTTGGAGCCACTCTTCCAACAATACTGACCGGAGTTGTAGATGTTTCCACCAGTTTTGGAGAACAGTTAATACTGGCAACGCGGACTTCTGGGTCAACTCCACTGGGCCAAATGGAGGATACCCCTGTGTCCGGGCGTCAGCGGGAGGTGAGACTTTAGAACACAGCGGCTAGTTTGGGACACGTAAAACCACCACGCTGACCCTGCCGGGGATGGGGGGGGGGGGGGGGGGGCTTGATCTTTTTGCAAAACCGATTAGTTGATATTCCAACAATCCCCGTGTTGATGGTGTGGGTGTGTCACGGCTCCGTTTGGGACTCTGGCGCCATCTAGGGGAGAGAATGTGGCAGTGCGGCTTGGAGGCGCTCGCTGATTGGCTGCAGCTGTATAAATAGTCGTGGTGTGATGTCCATATTCAGGTCCCGCGTTAGGGGCAACGGGACCTTGGGAGTTGTGTTTAGGAATCAAGGGTGGGGCTGCAGGGAGTATTTAAAGTTTCAGGTCTATGTATACGTGTGTGTGTGTGTGTGTGTGTGGAATACCTCATGCAGAACACAGCATCCCGGTGGCGGGTCACGCCCGGTCAGATCATAGTCCAGTGAAAGTGAGCCGTAAACCCTGGGGACAAATTTAAACAATACGAGCATTTACTAAAACAGTCATCACCACAGGGCCTGATTTTAATCATCGAACAGCACGTTCATGCTGGGATCCCCGTTGTGCAGCTCTATGTTTTGCATGTAAATGTGTCGTCACAGAGGTGCAGGGGTGATGTAATTTGTCTAGAATTAACCATGCTTAGCCAGTGTGTGTGTGTGTGTGTGTGTGTGTGTGTGTGTGTGTTTGTGTGTGGATCTCCATGTCTCTGTTTGAATCGTGCTTCCATTGGCGTGCTGACTCACAGTGTTTATCTAAGAGGGCGCGCGTCTGAGCTCTGGCTTTGGGAGATGGAAGATAGTAACCAGGATCACGTGTAGGGGGAGGGGGGGGGGTTAGCGTTCAGTAGCTCTGCTGAGCAATCAGGTTCCTCCATACTTCATAGAATTTACTGCAATTGAGGCAGAATGGCAGACTCCCATTACATAAACACAATGAATACTACAGCAGTTGCATTTTTCTATTTTGAGAGTATTGGGGAGTTTCCTGTTTCGTGTAACAGCGAAAGCCTACAGTGGAAGCATTGTAATACCACAAAAATAAACCAATAGGAGCCATAGTTGCTTAATAGGGATGTGAACCGCACCTCATACTAGGAAATTCCCCATGTCACTGTTTCCTACTACTGGTCATTGGAGGAAGGAAGGAAGACAAGATGAGTGTTTATCAGAAAGCAGGGATCTATTGTTGGGATTTATAGGGCAGCGGTATTCATAGAGCAGCGGATGGAACATGTAACCCATTTATTACACTGTTATAGAGCATTATCTGAAAACAAGATCCTCACTATGGCCTTGAATTGTTGCTCCGGGTGCATTTTGCGGTTGAATAATCTGCAGAAAGTCACGTTTCCTCCCATATCTCCCCGCCAGCCGGTGATCATCCGGACAAACTTTAACGATGTTATTGTAGGTACGGACTCCGTCCCGGTTACGCTGCGCAATGCCTCAGATACAGTTCCCTTTAAATCTATATCTGTGTTTCTCACAAAAACTGCCTCCGTTCTGAGGAACTGTTCAACCAACTTTTTTCATTCAACCGTCAGGGACACGTCACAAAATGACTTTTATCAGTCTTTTTGTTGCATGATGAAGTAATAAATTATACAAATGTGCTTTTTCCCCCATCCATGTGTAAATGCCCCCCCACCCCCCACACCCCTATTAACCCACAACATTCACATAATACAAGAGAATCAATACGCTCGAGAACATTTTTACTGCAATAGTTCCACGGGGGCGTGCCAACAAATGGAGCAATTCTGAACCAGTGCTTTTTTTATAGGCCCGTCTGGAATATTTACTGATGCAAGGAATAGGACAGACGCACTGGAGTACACTTATGTAGTGGCCCTGTGAGACACATTTTATGGCACATTTTATGACATGGGCTCAAGGGAACAGGTCTGTAGATGCACAGAGGAAAAGAGTGCTGAAGGAAACTGGAGAAGGTGGGGGGGGGGGCAGCATGGATAACCCTGAGACAAGAAATAGACCCCGCTTGGAAATCCTGGGATTCCTGATGCGGCGGCACGAAAAAGGGACGGACACAAACACGCGGGCACGCTTTCAAGCATGGACAGCAAAGGCAGTCAGGACGGGTGTTTAATGGGTAGCGGGCTTCCAGGATGTCGGCCTTCGATCGGTGCAGCGCATTTAGTCACAGGTCCTCCAGTGAGGGGCCGGCAGAGCTTTTAGGAACAGGATACCTAGGTTGTATTGTTATGGATCCATTACGCATTCCCAGAAGAAAACATTACGTTCTCAGCGAGAGGATGCTTCAATTCAGCCGGGACAAGCGCAGCAGGCTTTGGCATCTGTTTTTTTTATTAGGTTTCTTCTTCCATCTCAAGTGCTCATTAAGTCAAAGTCATATATAAATTGTGCTTTTGGTAATGATGACTGTTCAGTTCTTGACAACCATCTTCTCTTCTCCCCCCTTCCTCTGCAGAGTGGATTCAGGCGGTGCAGGCCCTCATGATCCTATCCATCATCTTCAGCTGCCTGTCTCTCTTCCTCTTCTTCTGCCAGCTCTTCACTTTGCAGAAGGGCGGACGCTTCTTCCTCACTGGAACCTTCCAGATCCTTGCCAGTGAGTTCAATCCCCCTTTTGACACAACTCCATCAGGCTCAGATGGACATTTTCATACTCATTATACAACATCAGCACTTGATGCGAAATGGGATTCATGCTGCATGTGGTGTGGCTAAAGTCTAGACGTGAGTTTTCCCTATTAATAAATCTCCGGTGGATCAAGTCATCACAAAGATCAGGCCCAACAATTATGAAAAGTACTGGTTTCGATTACTTCCAAAAAATACATAAAGCATGCTGCTGCCAATGATATTAAACAGAAAAATGCAACGTTTCAACGGCTTTTTTGCTTGACAAACAACCCCTTCAAAATCAACCTCAATACTTTTAGCTGTGGTCTGAAAATACACCACCTTTTCCAGTCCTCCTCCTACACAGACAGAGCAATAGCAGAGAACCCCAGTGCCTCCACTGTGGCATTAGATCACGAGAGTCTGAGCCGTTAACCGATGGTTTACTGCTCCACTCCCCTATTGAACCTTCTGGCCCAGAGAGCGGCTCCGCTGCCCACTGCGTCCTGGCTTGGCAGCCCTTTGCCAAATGCCAGGTTCTCTGCACCGTGGCAGCCCGCTGCCCAGAGACACAGACGCCCCAATCAGCCCAAACGGGCCGCGACCCCAGGCGCCCCGGCACAACCGCGTCGGAATGGTCGGGAAGGTCCGGCGGTGCGGCTCGCCGGTAAACACGTCGCGCCATCGGAGCAGGAGAGCCTGCCTCGCGGATCGATAAGCGGGAGGGGCTCTGATGTACTGCGGAGGGGAGCCGGATCTGATCTGATCTGCCTGCTTTGCCAGACAGGGTTCGGCCCGGGGCTCAAGACGGAGAGATTATACTGCAGAGAAACACGATCTGATGATTGAAACAAGATGATGGGCTGGCATTGTTAAGTGTTTCCTGGCTTGTACCCCTCCCTGCAGGTTTGTTCGTGATGAGCGGAGCCATCATCTACACGGTGATGAGTCCGACCTGGGGAAAAGACACAGACGTCTTCGGCTACTCCTACATCCTGGCGTGGGTGGCCTTCCCTCTGGCGCTGATCAGCGGACTCATCTACGTTATCTTGAGGAAGCGAGAATGAGCCGCCACTCGCATCCCGGGGTTCCCTGTTACCGCATCAGTCCCATTCTGAAGTTTAAAAAAAAGAGGTTTTGATGCCTGAGTACCAATGGCCCCAGGAGACCAACACAACTAGATCACGACAAGGGGGGAGAGGCGGGAGAGAGAGGGGGGATACCAAAAATCAACAAGCAAATCAACACAAAACAACCAATACTGTCTCAGTTAAAAGATGTATATAGTATCTATGGTTTAAAACGTATTTATAACACTTTTTACATATATGTACATAGTTGTTGTGTTGCCCTGTCAATGGATACACGTATGAGCGTTGTTCTAGCTGATTAAGTGCCTTTGTGTTTGTTTGTAATGATTGAAATAATTAGATGCTATTTTGTTGCGTTTACTTTTTATGTTGCTTTTTTTGTTTTGGTAATTGCCAAAGAATTACACCCCCCAACCCGCCCACCCGACCCCCCCAACAAAAAAAAGGAAGCAAAAAAGTTATTCGTATTTTAACCAAAAATGCATGTTTAGAAATAGAAGGGTTAGAAGAAAAGATTTGTTTGATGGGCTTTACGATAAGAGTGGTAACATCGCTGGACGTCGCGTAGCCAAGCGATATACGGATTTGGCCCTTTTCTATTTTGTGAATTTTCGAGTTACACTGTTTTTATTTTCAGTATTTTTCTATTTCCTATTTTCAACAAAAAGATGGTGCTATGTATTTATCATTCCTATTACTCTTAGCGATCATATTCGAACGGACTCACCGTGTTCTTGTTCAGAATCAAACAGCCATTAATTAAAGTGGGAATCAGACGGAGGTACACGAGTACGAACAGAGCCCGGCTGCTTCTCTGGGGAACACAGTTTAATTCACATCGCAGTGCCCGACTTCTGTTTTCTTCATCAGCTACTGTAAAATGAACAACTGAGTTTTGGCGTGGTGCACTGATCGAAGTAGAACGTCAGTATTATTCTGCGTATTTGTGAGGAGTTGGATTCAAGTGACAGTACTTCATATATGCTTTATTGCAATTTTACTTAATTATAACCTCATTCTGATGTTTATGTTCACCTGGCTGTTAAAGTGTCATGAAGCCAAACTGCCTATTTACCCTAAAGAAAATAACACTGTGGGGCATTATAGCCTAAAAAAGTATACATTTGATATTACTAGAAAGAAATGCCACTGATTGAAGCCATAAAAGATAATATCAGATGACGGGGGAAACGTTTGAAGTATTAACTCTATGTGTGATAAAAACAGTGAGGTTTGCAATGATGATAATTGTCTGTTTCAAATACTTGACACGCGGCCGCCTCTGCCCGTTAACGTTTGTCTCTTCTGTGTAAAACGCTGTTCACGTGCCGCGGAATAACACAAGGTGACGATAATCCAGCCTAAAAACCCTCGCTTTACTCAATAAAACTCACTCTCACGTTAACTACTACCACGTCTTCCACTGTTACCTGGGACTGGACTCGCAGCGAGAGCGAGTTCTGCACCACCTGCGGTGACGAATCTCCAGTCGTCGCGTGTTGACGTTGCCATAAAAGACGCGGCAAAAGACGTCAGAGGCCGCAGCCGGGCGAGCCCACTTTAGAGCGCGCTCCGTGGGATCGGATGGGCTGCCTCGGGTCGCGTGTGTTTGGAAATGGCGTCTCGTGACTCGTGGCACGCCGCACGCCGCGCGCCGAGGGTCCGAGGCCCCCGGCGGCCCGGCGTGCCACGGCAGGCCTCCAAAACACGCAGCTCGGGTTTCAGTGTCATGGGCGCGTGGCTTATAAATAGGAGGACTTGGACGTGTCCCGAACAGCGTGAGCCCTCCAATCCCCTGTGACAGAGCTATGTGGTGGAATTAAAGCATTTAATTCAGGATTTACACTAACTAGTCTGCTGTGTGTGTGTGTGTGTGTGTGTGTGTTTTTCTCCTTTGCTTTATCCATGATGCCAGTTGTCGGGTTCAGTTTGAAGAGATCGCCTCTAATGACGACTGCTCCTTCTCTTTGTGCAAAGCGACAGAGGTAAAAATAGCTACGCCGTGTTTACACCTAAACTTCCATGCTCGTGATGTCACCAAAGCTTCTTTGAGTTGAAATCATTAAAGCTGGTTTCTTACCACCCCCCCCACGGAGCTGGTTTCATGTGTTTGATGACGTTACTCTTATACGTACACAATCTACCTCTTGGGGAGTCCAAAGGTCACGTGTTAAAGTGACTGAGGACTCGTCCGTCACGCAACCTGTGCGCACAGATCCCGGTTTGTGAGATCTATTTCTGGTAAAGAAAACACACAATGAGAGGTATCCAAACCTCAAGCAAGGAACGAGTAACCCCCCTTCCCCCCCCTCTCCGCTGGGAGAAATGGAGACACGGCATTCTGGTCTGTTTGATAACATCATACTGATAGTGATGAACTGAACGCCAATGGAGCTTTGCGCATAATCTGAACCAGGAGGGTGAGAGAACAAAAATAGAAGAAAAATCATTTTGATGAATGCAATTATACTCGTACCCCCCCCCCCCCCCCAAACACACACACACACACACATTTAGACTTGACACTTAGAGGTGCACCACCTGTAGTTTAACATTTACTGTGCAGTACCGCCATCTGGTGGACACGCGGTAAACAGCAACACAATTCTTGTGTCGCACTTATCGGGCGCACACTGCCTCCATGTGGTCAAATGTGAGCACTACAGCTTTACGCAGCCTGAATGAACCCTGATATTCTGAAGAGAGAGGAGAGGCGCTCTGTCCAGTAAATGATTCTTTGTTAAAAAATGTGCTAGAGCTCATTCATTCTATATGCGATCATTAAGAATAGTCTAGAAATCTTTTTTGCGATGATGTATCCTCTGTCACATTAGTATGCATGCATGTGATACAGAGGGGGGGTGGGGGGGTTCTGCTACCTGTCTACTCTCCATCACCCTTCAGTCAGTCTAATGGATGCTCCTCCTCCAGAGCCATTATGAAGGCTTTTATGGCACAACACATCATTAGAGGAAAAGGCGGAACACAAACGACTCTTTCTACATTTGATGGATGATTTGATAAATTCAGACAAAACACAATAACATCACAGCCTTTCTAAATAATAAAGCATGGGGTTCAGAACAGGGTCAAACGGTTCTGTTTTTGACTTGATCCAAATGCATCCTGCTTGTCTTTGCTGCAACGTAGACATCATTTGAAATATTTAAATTTGGAAAAGGAGATTTTTACTGACACGTTTCACCAGCTGGCCAATGTGCAGCTCCATTGGAGCACCCGAAGGTCAGCTCGGATCAGAAGTCAGTTGAAAATGGATGAAATAAAGAAAATAACAGTGTTATTTAACAGAGTGTGTGAGCATTTCTGGGGCGGCACTGTGTGATGGAGCAGGAGGAACGGCCATCTTTATCCCGAATCATCTTCGCTCGTTTGATGTTTTCGATGATGCTTGGAGAGAACGCCGTCCGATACAAAACATCCCATTTGGTCCCAAATGATCTCTTACACACAATCACACTGACTGCAGACGGACCCGGCAGACGCATTCATCACGTCTGGAAGGACTTGTCCCGTCGTTGTCTCATTGTATAATGATGACAGATAAACTTTTGGTCAGATGTTGCCATTAGATTTAACCACCACCTGGTTTCTTTGGGGCGGTTAATAGAACATCAGAAACTCTTGCCTTCCCGGCACTCTTTTCTCAAGCAGTATTTTGGCGGGCAGGTCCCACGGGTGAAGAAAAGCAAAAGGAGGACTTTAAAAAGAAGAAAGCACACATTGTGTATCTATGGAGTATTGACTGATACGCATAATTACCTCCGTGCTTAAGAGGTGTCTGGGGGTTTTACACATCATTGTTTTGCCTTCACGGGGTCACGGACAAGCTTTTAAAAACAATCACTTTTCCCATTAATGCCTCAAAAACTCCCCCTGTCTCGTCTCATCCCACCCAATGTCACCATCAAGACCCGGGTCAGCCCTCCCCCTTTTTACATTTTTTTTTTTTTTTTTACTTTAAGACTACTGGGAGGTAATGTATTTTTTATTTATTTCTGGAACACATTGAAGGGGGATGCAAACAGAAGGTCCACCTTAATCTATCACAGCCCCTCCAAGGGTGCGGGGGTCGAACAGTGACAGGCACAAAATCGCAGAGCCGGTGGGGAGGAGGGCAACAGACGCAATTAAGGCTCATGAAATGCAAATGACTCCTTATGTGAGGGGCTGGGGTCGGGGAGGAGGGCCGGGTCTCTCCTGGTTCTGCTGCCATCTGCTTGCCATCATCACTGGTGGAGGAACCTCTGGCTCTCGGTAATTTGTAGCTTTAATAATTTTCTCCCTCAGCCGGGGAAGTCAAAAAAGAAATGGCGATGAAGGGGCCGAGGACGTGCAGCTGGGTTAGATTAGATTTAGATTAGCTGGCCAGATCACACGGAGATCTGACCTCTTACACCTAAGAAGGGGAAGAAACTCTTCGTGTTCCGTGCACGCACACGCACGCTCGTGCACGCTCTCGGTTCCACCGCTACACAATGCCTTGACTGTCCGCCATCAAAGCCGACCCTGATCCAAGGTGTACTTCTGGGTGAGTGGGTCCATAAATCCCTGAGGATGTCTGGAGGTTATTTAGGAACATGATTCCTGGCCGCTGAGGGGCGAGCCGGAACCCCACCTCCCTCCCCCCAAAATGCAGATTCGGGCCCCGACTTTCCCTGGAGCCCTGGAAGGTCAAAGTGGACACAGTTCCCCCCCCTCCAAAAAAAAGAAATGACACAGCCATTCATTTGTTGTGTGGAAAAAGAAGGGCCTTATTGAACCAACAGACACAACACTCATACCCACCGTAGCAACCCATTCCCAAGGTCAGCGCCGCACATACCCGACCTCTGACCCCGAGGGAGTCCATCATGCTCAGGGGACAAAGCGGAGATTGGCAGCCGATGCAGTCGGGGACTAAATCAACTTCAGCTTCTGCCATACGTCAAAATCACTTCCACCGACGTGAGCTCGCACTGAGGGCCTAATCATTTCATGGGCGAAGAAAGAGCGGAGAAGATGAAGCGGCGCGCCGGACGTGGCACAAACAAGGCGGACGGGGGCTTTTGTTGGAGAGTTAGAGAAAGCCAGTGGGGGTGGGAGTGTGCCTCTGGCGTTTGAGTGATAACTTAAACACCACTGAGCGCACCTTTTATAGCTGGGGAACGCGGGCCAACATCTCGTAGCCAGCGAAACAGACGAACACGCGTGATCAAAAGCACGTCTGGATTCCCTTTTCAATAAAAACCCGCTGCAAAAAAGCGGCGCGATAGGAATCTCTCACACGGAGCAGATAACGCGCATGTGCCGTTTTAATTACAGCACTTAATACTCCCGTCAAACCACAGAGGACACGGGAAGATGGCTGCAAGTCTGCAGGCTGGAATGGACGGAGACGCTTCAGGCCTGGCATGCAGCGGAGGGCAAAAAGCTGCTTTTTAATCTCCGCAGACACACAGATGGCTCTCCTGAGGTCCAGTAAAGCTTCGTATTGGTCGGACGAGCGGCAGTAAAAAAACGCTCTGAATGGCGTCGACGAAGCCTCGTAAATTCCCCAGGCTGTAACAGGACCTCCTATGGGAATGGACACAGCAGCCAAGTTATTTGGAGCAGTGCTGCATCTCAAACGTTGATAACTCATCGGGGGGGGGGGGGGTTATGCGGATACCTCTTTTTTAACGACCGATTCCTCTAGCGATACACCCTTAATAACATCGAGCGACTGAAGACTCAGGACGACTTAACATCGCAGCAGGTTCCCTGCCCCGTGGTTGGAGGCTCTAAATCAGCCGCATAGAGCAGGAGCAGACAGCTGAATGAGCCAGAGATCAGTGCTGGGACAGTTGTGGAATGACAGAGAACTTGAAGTTCATATCTCCTGTGCATATGTGCATCTCTTTTCCTCACAACGCCTCGCCTCCGGCTCTGCAAAGAGCCTTTCAGTGAGCTCGGACACATGACGGATCGTTTTCAGCTGCCTCTTATTGGAATTATAAACACGGAAGAGAAATGTCCGTCATAACATATCCTGCATTTGTCTCGGTGCTGCCACTATCTATCGAATCTCTTCTCTCTTCTGCAGTGACTGAACTGTATGAGCCGCACGAACAAAGCGCGTCCTAGAGCTCTTAAAGGACACCCTGAGATGAATACCCAAGTGATTTATTTACAGCTCTGAAAGGCGCGTATTTAACCTCTAATTGTAATATTCTCCTTTTGAATAATTGAGCAGAACCCCCCTTCCCCCCCAAAAAAAAGGAAAAAAAAGCTTCCTGTCTTTAGAAACACTGAGAATCAGACATAAATGGTAATAAAAGTATGATTAGTAATCTTAATTAGCCATGCTCGAAAAAGAAAAACACATGGAATAGAGACCTGGTGATTAGCAGAACAAAGCGCGATGCTGTAATCTGCCCTCGATGGGGTGTCAGCTCCGGCCCATGAGAAGACATCAGGCCCGGGCTGATTGCACGGGGATGGTCGGGCTGAGAAGGACTCATGTTAGCGGGTTGGTGGGGGGTAGATTCCCAGGACAAAAGGAGCGGGGCCGAGGGGACAAGATAAGACACTACGCAGCGGCACGGATGTACCCCGCGAAGGCCGTACGGCAAAGAATACAGAGAGAAAAGTATATAATGCATTGTGTGTGCATACAGGGCACAAGCTTCACACATCTTAATCATATTGGTCGCTTTGTCTGATCAAATTGAAATTCCCTTCAGATCATAAAAGGAAACAAACAGAAGTATCGCTTTTCCTCTCTGTAATGTTACAGGTTCAAATGGTGATAGCAGTTGCATGTTTAAACTTTCTCACAAAAAAAATCTTGGAGAGAAGTATTTGTCAAACAGATGTCAGATATATGTCTGCATGTACATGCGTGTGCACTGTGGGTTCGTGAAGCCCCCTCATGGCCCGACCCCTCACCCTTCATCCCTAGAAACACTCCTGCACTCGTGGTTCAGCGCTGTAAATCACACACACACACACACACACACACACACACACACACACACACACACACACACACACATGTCTGGATAATGTTCATACTGCCACCAATCACACAGCCCGTGCAGCATTGGGGATTTTTTT